CCGGGGTGGGACAAGTGCCTCGGTCTGTCCTGGTGGCTTGACCAGCCTTTGGCTCCGTTGCCAGCCTGGAAAGGAGCCGGAGAGGAGACGCCTCAGCCGCTAAAGGGTGCGAAGGAAAACCTGCCTTGAAAGGCAGAAAGAGCCCAAGTAAACCCTGTTCAATGGGGCTTGTTGCTAGATAAGCAAGTACAGGATAGCAGTCTCAACTTACTTATTTACATTTTTATTTGAATTATTTTTACCCGGCTTTTCTCCCTAAGAAGGACCTAAGGTTGCTAAGACAGTTAAAAACCAGTTTTGAAAGCCAAAAACAGTAAATATACTGTTCAGGAAATGATGGTCGTAACTCAAAATGGTCATAAGTCAAAGCACCATTTCCCAGAGGAATGCATTGGAATGAGATTAATCCATTCTGGCTGGAGAAAAAAAAACTTTTAAAAAAGAAAGAAAGCAAAACAACAACACTGCAAGCCCTATCGCAACGCATCGGGCAAGAAAATAAAAATCGAGAAAAACACAAAAACACGGCATGGCCCATCAGATCACATCAGGGCTGGGGGGAAAATCACCAAAAGGCAAAAATAAATAAATAAAAAAAATGCAAACTCAATTGGAACATGTTGGGAACAAATTTTAATCTCTAACCATTCGGGCAAAAAAGTTACAAAGAAGCAGTCTCTTCACCAACCAACAGTTAGAACATTTGAATTCCCCGCCTTTTCCCCCACCTTTTTTCCTGTCGTAACTCGAAGCTCTGGTGACAAGTCGAAGCAAAATTTTGCTGCCAGAACTGGTTGTAACTGAAATACTGTAGGTTGTAAGTTGGGACGGTCGCAAGTCGAGGCACCACTGTATAGGCAGAATCAGGACGGTATAAGTCACCTCACAAACCTTATAAGATGATGTGTGAAGACTTGTTTCCAGTCTGTGGCCCCCTTCAAATGTGCCATGGACCCCACCTCCCCGGGGCCCCATAGCTGCTGTTGAGAATGGGTGCTTTCAAGGATTTACAATGCTCTCTGGGGGATTCCCTGCTCACCAGTGCTTGCCACCCATCGGGCATGTCACCATTTCTTCTTTATCTGTTTTTGTAGAGATCCCATCAAACTGGAGGAAAGCTGTGAGACACCTAGCAATTGGTGTGGTGTGGCCTCTTTTGGAGCCCTGGAATAGAGGCCTTTTCCTGCAGAAAGGGACAAGGTCAAGAGGAGGGTTTGGGGAGGTGGACTTTGACTGAAGACAAAATGGCGGCTGAAGAAGGGATGCAGCCCCTTGTGGGTTTCCAGTTCCAGGCTGCAACTGAACAAAACGTGAAGCATGAGGTCAAAATGGAGGAGGAACAGCAGTTTGGTGCTGTGGCTGCCGAGAGCCCTGAAGACGAAGGAAATATCAGGGAATGCCTCTCCAGATGGCCGGAGCAGCAGGTCAAGTCAGAGCCGGGGGAGAGGCTGCTCCGGCAGTGGGAAGACCAGTGGCAGGGCTTCCTGAAGACCGTGGAGTCTCCCTCTTCGTCCGAGTGGGAGAGGCCAGGGCTGCCGGACGCGTCGGCCCCGTGGGGCGATGCCCAGGCCTTCCTGGCCTCCTTCGAGCAAGTGGCCGAGGCCTGCTTGTGGCCCAAGGAGGAGTGGGCGGCCCGACTCCGGCCAGCCCTCCGAGGAGAAGCGGGCCAGGCCTTCGTCCGGCTGGAGGCCAGGGACCGAGAGGACTACGGCAAGGTGAAGGCGGCCCTCCTGCGCAGAGAGGCTCTGCGGAGAGAGAAGACCCGGCAGCACTTCCGGAGCTTCGGCTACCGGGAGGCCGAAGGGCCGCGAGCGGTTCACGGCCGGCTGCGGGAGCTTTGCCGCGGGTGGTTGAAGGTGGAGAAGCACACGAAGGAGCAGATCCTGGAAGAGCTGGTCCTGGAGCAGTTCCTGGCCGTCCTTCCGCCGGAGGTCCAGACCTGGGTCAGGGGACACGGGCCCGAGACCGGCGCCCAGGCGGTGGCCCTGGCCGAGGACTTCCTGGGGAGGCCTTGCAAGTCGGAGAGGCTGGAGCAGCACGTAAGGGAATAAATACTCTCAGAACGTAATTCATTTGTTTACAATATTTATACCCTACCTTTCTCTTAAAAAGGACCCGAGGCGGCCCACAATATTTAAAAAAAAAATCTGGAGTCCACCAGGTTGGGCAAGGCTGATCATGGGAACCAGTTGCATTCCCCAGAAGAAACTGTGCTGAGGGAGACGGAATAATAGCTTTCCTTGCGATCATGGGAACCAGTTGCATTCCCCAGAAGAAACTGTGCTGAGGGAGACGGAATAATAGCTTTCCTTGCAATTCCATTCACCAGAAGAAACAGTGCCGAGGGAGACGGAATAATAGCTTTCCTTGCACGTGTCTTCTGTTTCCCCACCCTTATTTTTAGTAGTGACTAGGCTACCCTCTGAGCCTCCTGGGCGTCAAACAGAGAGAACCTCTTTATTCAAAATTAAAGAGTTCTTCAAAGCTTACTGGGTCCAACTCCAAGTCAATCCCCAGCTGTAACATTTCTGACATACATACATGTTTAAAACCAATCTCAATGGACTCAATATTAGCCAACATTTCTTAGGCCATTATCAAATGCAAAACACTGCAGTAACGGTGTTTTACCTGCTCTATTTTTCAGCTGTATTTCCTTCCTAGCTAACTAGAGCCACTGCAAATTCCCAGTGAAAGATCCTCAATACCATGTTGTCCTGCTTGTTTTCTGTAGCTCAAGATTAGTTTAGCCACCAGTCATTGTCATTGTTTATGGAACAGTGTTTCTGGGGAACGGACCCGAATATCAACAGAGATCTTAAAAGATAGTTGCCAAGGGTGAAATGCAGCAGTATTGGCAAGTTGTGCCCAGGAAAGATAACAAAACAAAACGAAGTCGGAGAGGCTGAAGCAGCACGTAAGGGAAAGCAAAGCTTGGAAAAATTGCTGGAAGTAATTCATTACATACTCCTCCTAGTTCATTGGCATTAGAGTCACAGAACAACATTTCGCGGATGCATGTCTGTTGCTTTTTTATTCTAGTGATAACGTTTTTTAATAATAGCAATCATGTGCAATCAAGTCGAGTCTGGCAACCTTTTTTGAGGATTTTCCAGGGAGAAAATACTCAGAAGCAGTTTTCCCCTTCCCTTCTTGGGGTTTTTCTGGGACTGTGTCGCTTGCCTAAGTCTTACCCCAGCTGGCTCTACGTGCAGGAGGCACAAGCGGGGAATCGAACTCTCAGCCTCTGTTGAAACCACTCAGCTACGCATCCAGCTTTATTACCTCTTAGGAATCAGTAAAAAAAAAAGAAAATGGCATGCAGTTGTTCTATTCAGAGTTCCTGTAATAACGGGCCTAAAGGGTAACCATAAAATCGGTACCCTAGTTTGAAAATCCAGATACACGTCATAGCTATTGCGATACACAGTCTCCCACATGGAGGTGAGTTGGTCATAGGAAAAATGAGGAGCAGGCCTTTTGCAAAATGAATGGCTCATTGTCTGCTGAAGAAGCAACCACGTTCCAGTACTTTGCATGACAACAAGAACAGCTTGCATCATTATACTGTTCCCTGGAAAATCCTTAGTTTTGGTTCTCTGGAGTGGAACTAGCGTGAAGGGTACGGGTGTGAGGGAGATTCAGTTCTACTTACTTCACTTTTTTGTCAGTGAACTCACAATTTCTAGTATGAGCAAGGAGCTACACCATGAATGTTGTTTTCCTAGACTCATATAACTGTAAACCTGGGAGCGGCCTTAAAGTGTTTATGAAGAAGGAGCACAGTTAGGTATGAATCGGGAGTTCAGAAGAAGAGGACTCACAGTGGTGGTGGTGGTGGAGCCAGAAGAACCATGTAGACTTTGGGTGGGATCTAGTGAACCTCAGAGGAGGTCTCCAGTGGAGAAGGGTGGCAACGTTCATTGTGAAGGCAGTGAGCCTCTTGGGAAAACCTCAAGCCCACAGAGAATCCACACAAGGAAGAGAGATGCTATTGAAGTGGTGGGGGGGTTGTAGCTTCCCAGGCAATGAAGAGTTAATTGGATTTATGGACCTTGTACAGTGGCGCCTTGCATTATGACGTTAATTCGTTCCAGCAAAATCGCTGTAGAACAAAAACGTAGTAATGCGAAAAGAAAAAACCCATTGAAACGCATTAAAACCCGTTTAATGTGTTCCAAAGGGCTGTAAACTCACAGTCCAGTGAAGATCCTCCATAGGGCGGCCATTTTCGCTGCCTGTGCAGTGAGGAATCCATCCCAGAAAACAGCGGGGGGGCATTTAGTTTACCCGGTGGCCATTCTGAAACAGCTGATCAGTTGGAAAATTGTTGTTTTGCGAAGAATCGGTTCCTGAAGCAGGGAACCGATCATCGCAAAGCGAAGTTCCCCCATAGGAAACATCATTTTGCGATTGCAAAAAGTTCATCATAATGCAGTTTCGTCGTTAAACGGGGCAATCGTAAAGCGAGGCACCACTGTAATGAGGAACTTCTGAGTGCAAAGGAGCTTATTCCTGGGCCTTTGTTGTTGTGTGTCACTATGTCCGATGTACGGTGACCCTATGAATAAGTAATCTTCAAAATGTCCTCTCCTCAAGTGCCCCCCCCTCAGCTCTTACAAAGTCAAAACTATGGCTTCCTTTTGGGATTCAATCCATCTCGTATTGGGCCTTCCTCTTTTCCTGCTGCCTTCCACCTTTCCTACCTTCTCAGGATGTGCCCCAAAATAGAACAGCCGCAGTTTCAACATTTTGGGATAGTTCAGGCTTGATTTGTTCCAGGACCCACTTGTCTTTCTAGCATTCCAGGGTTATCCCCCAAAGCTCTCCTCCAGCACCACATTTCAAATGAATCATTTTTTCCCTGTCAGTTTTTTTTAAACCATCCATCTTTCAAGCCCATACATGGCGATGGAAAGACAAGAGCGTGGATGTTCTTGGTCTCCAGTGACACGTCCTTAACTTGATGACCTTTTCTAGTTCCGGATCGAACCCCCAATTAAGATGGGTGTAAGGAACTTTAGGCCCAAGTGTTCAGTCTGGCCCCCTGGCTTCTGGCTAGATAGGCCTCCTTTCCTGCCTTTGGAGTAAAACAGGGGTGCCCTTTGCACACACACACACACCCTCAAGATCCAGTTCCCTCCACTTCTTTCTAGTGCCACACTTCGGGTGCCCTTTGCACACACACCCCCCCTCAAGATCCAGTTCCCTCCACTTCTTTCTAGTGCCACACTTCATTTCTATTCCAGGCACCTGCGAAAGAAGGACCTTTGGATTTCTCTGTGTCAGAGGAGCTGCCATCAGACCGTAAATCTAACCAGGTCTTCCAGGAAGCAGGTGCTGACGTAGGAAACTCTCTGGGTAAGGATTCCCAGAATTTTAAATATTTTGACAGGGGTGGGGTGGGGTTGGTCTGACCTCTACTGCTGAAATCCCACTATTGCGCTCTGTATCCCCACCCCGTTCACTGCACATCCGGTTTGGATATATATAAAGGGAACTTCTCCTTATTTTCATATAAGATGGATGTAGAGATGGGCACGAGAACACATTTTTTGTGACTTGAGAAATTCATCCTGTGCAGTACTTACGTGCATGTAATGTGTGCTCTACAGTGGGTTCAAAAGAAGATACAGTAAATGGCAGAGAGATTCCCATTGAAGTAGCCTGCTTCTGATAAAAGAAACAGCTCCAGTACAGTGGTGCCCCCCTTAACGATTACCTCGTTAAACAACAAATCCGCTTTACAATGTTTTTTTGCGATCGCTATTGCGATCGAAAAATGATGGTTTCAGTAGGGAAAATTCGCTTGACGATGATCAGTTCCCTACTCCGGGAACTGATTTTTCGCATTACGATGGTTTTCGAACAGCTGATCGGCGGCTGTCAAAATGGCTCCCCACTGTGCTAGGGACTGATTCCTTGCTAGACAGGCACCAGAATATGGCCGCCCTATGGAGGATTTTTGTTTTACGATGAGTTATTTCACCCATTGGAATGCATTGAACAGGGACTGATTCCTCGCTAGACAGGCACCAGAAAATGGCCGCCCTATGGAGGATCTTCGCTTTACGATGAGGTATTTCACCCATTGGAATGCATTGAACGGTTTTCGATGCATTCCAATGTTTTATTTAATTTCGCTTGACGACAATTTCGCTTAACAGCAATTTGAACGGTCAATTTAAATGGAACGGATTATCGTCGTCAAGCGAGGCACCACTCTATTTTAACATTTTAATTTATTTTCAATTTTACCTATATTTCATATAACATTTTCATTTAGTTTCAATTTTACCTATATTTCATATATGTTCATATTTTAAATTGTACAATGCTCTGATATAAAGAAAGAAAAAGGGTTGTTTTTCTGATACCTTGGAGTTAGATGGCATCGGAGGAGGTGAAACTCCCAGTCCAAAGCTATGGGATTTGCCTGTGTAATGTCTGGATATCTTGAGGGGCCCATCATTGCTCTAGCTTATGGCAAAATCAGATGGGAACTGTGAATAGAGATGGGCACAAACTTTAGTTCGGAGGTTTGTGCCAGTTTGTTGGACTGGCACCACCAGTGCTGTCGGTTCCCTTCCCCCATTTCCCTGGACGGCTCCTCCACTCACCAGTCATCATGTGCTGCTCTTCTCCTCTTCGGGCATCTGACCAGTTGCATGCTTCCCTCCTCTGCCTCCCCCAGCAGCCACCCATTCAAAGGCACACTGCAGGAATCCCTGCCCTGCCTCTTTGTCTAAGTGGGTGGCTGCTGGAGGAGGTAAAGGAGGGAAGCATGTGCTCCCCCTGGGACTAGTTGAACACTTGCTGAAGAGGAGAAGAGCGGCGCACACCAGCTGGTGAATGGAGGATCCATGTAGGGTGAGGAAAGGGATCACATGGTACCTGTGATGCCAATCCAACTAACTGGTATGAATCTCCAAACCGAGGTTCGTGCCCATCTGTAACTGAAGTCTAAGTTAGGTTTCATTTTCTGCTCCCCTTTTCCTTCCGCAGGTGAAGACCTGTGGAGTGCGACTGAGAGAAATCACCAAGTAGCTGGTGAAGAAGCTGCAAATTTGGAGGAAATGGGAAGTCCAGAAGGGGAGGGTTTGCAAAGGGGTGGCCCGGAAGAAGCATCTAGAGCTCGGAAAGGCTCTAAGGAATCTCAGAGACATTCTCCAGGGGAAAAGGTAGAAAAAATTGTTTCTTGTAAAGGCAAGGAGCCGCTTGATGAAACCAGTAACCCACAGAGAATGCCAGTGGTGAAGAGTGAGATGAATACAGCGGATGAAAGCAGCTTTCCAGATGACTCAGAGATCGCTGAATTTCCAGTGGCCCACACTGCCGACTTGCCCTATAAATGCTTGGATTGCGGGAAGAGCTTTAATTACAACACCAGCCTCGTCCGGCATCAGAGAAGCCACACGGGAGAGAAACCGTACAAATGCTCGGACTGCGGGAAAAGTTTCTGCCAGAGTTCAGGCCTCACCGTTCATCAGAAAATCCACACCGGGGAGAAAGCCTATCAGTGCCTGGACTGTGGGAAAAGCTTCCGGGTAAAAGGCCACCTCATCCGGCACTCCATCATCCACAAAGGGGAGAAACCTTACAAATGCGCTGAATGTGGAGTCTGTTTCTGTGAAAGGTCAGACCTCACGATCCATCAGAGAACGCACACGGGAGAGAAACCGTACAACTGCACTGACTGTGGGAAAAGCTTTCGCCGGAAGGCAGAGCTGACTCTCCATCAGAGGATCCACACCGGGGAGATGCCCTACACGTGCGTGGAGTGCGGGAAAGGCTTCCGCTGGATTCAGAACGTCATTGCCCATCAGAAAACCCACGCCCGCGTGAAACCTTTCGAGTGTCCTGAATGTGGGAGGAGATACTCTTCCAATGTGGGCCTTGCAAGGCATCAGAAAGTCCACGCAGCAGGTACCCCATGAATATATATTCGTACTGCAGGAAAAGTTTCCGCAATGGCACCAGGCTTATCGGGCAGGGGAAGATCCACACAGGAGAAAACTTGTTGAAAACTTGTAAACTATGGATTTTGGGAGAAGTTTCAACTAGAATTTGGACCTTTAATTCACGTCAGAAAAATCCATACAGGAGTGAAGCCATTCCTGTGTTTTGACTGTGGGTAAAATGTCAGATCTAAATCAGAACTTCACAAGCATTACATAATCTATGTAGGAGAGAAAAGTGATAAAAACCAAGCGTCGGTGATCCAGAGGTTTCTGCCCACGAGAAAGTTGTCAGCGACTGGCCCATAGGGAAAAAGGAAAGAGAGAAGGGAAAAGCTGGATCAGCTCATGGAATACGGAGATGTTGTACAGTGGTGTCTCGTATAACGACGTTAATTCGTTCCAGCAAAATCGCTGTAGAGTGAAAACGTCGTAAAGCGAAAATAAAAAACCCATAGAAACGCATTGAAACCCTTTGAATGCGTTCCAATGGGCTAAAAACTCACCATCCAGCGAAGATCCTCCATACGGTGGCCATTTTCGGTGCCTGTATAGCAAGGAATCCGTCCCTAAGCACAGCGGGGAGCCATTTTGAGCACCCGGTGGCCATTTTGAAAACCTGACGATCAGCTGTTTTGATCCTAATGTGAAGAATCGGTTCCAAAAGCAAGGAACCGATCTTCACAAAGCAAAAAAAAAACTATTTTAAAGCGGATTCGTCGTAATGTGGGATAATCGTTAAGCGTGGCACAACTGTATTGTATTGGATTCTGCTGGTCCACGTACTTTGTGTGCGGATCAGCTCATGGAATATGGAGATGTGTTGTATTCTGCTGGTCCACATACTAGTTGCCTTTACAGCCCTAGCCAGTATACTCAGTTGTTGGGGGATTATGGGTGTTGTAGTCCAGAAACATCTGGAGCATCTCAGGTGCTCACTGTCATCTACATTTTGCAAGCAAACAGAAAAATGTCCAGAAAAATGGAGTTCTACTTTTCCTAACCCCATGGATCAGCTCATGGAATACGGAGATGTTGTACAGTGGTGTCTCGTATAACGACGTTAATTCGTTCCAGCAAAATCGCTGTAGAGTGAAAACGTCGTAAAGCGAAAATAAAAAACCCATAGAAACGCATTGAAACCCTTTGAATGCGTTCCAATGGGCTAAAAACTCACCATCCAGCGAAGATCCTCCATACGGTGGCCATTTTCGGTGCCTGTATAGCAAGGAATCCGTCCCTAAGCACAGCGGGGAGCCATTTTGAGCACCCGGTGGCCATTTTGAAAACCTGACGATCAGCTGTTTTGATCCTAATGTGAAGAATCGGTTCCAAAAGCAAGGAACCGATCTTCACAAAGCAAAAAAAAAACTATTTTAAAGCGGATTCGTCGTAATGTGGGATAATCGTTAAGCGTGGCACAACTGTATTGTATTGGATTCTGCTGGTCCACGTACTTTGTGTGGGGGACCTAGTTGCCTTTACAACCCTAGCCAGTATACTCAGTTGTGGGGGATTATGGGTGCTGTAGTCCAGAAACCTCTGGAGCATCTTGGGTGCTCACTGTCGTCTATATTTTGCAAACAAACAGAAAAAAATGTCCATAAAAATGGAGTTCTACTTTTCCTAACCCCAGCTGAACTCGTGGGAAAGAGTTTCTTAGTCTTGTATGATTTGAAATATGAACCGTCTCTCTTTGGGTTGCTTTTAAACAAAACAAAAGAAACTGCTTTTTTTAAAAAAAATAATCTTTGTATTCTCGAAGGCTTTCGAGATTATTTTTCAAACAAGAAAAATAATCTTTCTTGTTTGAGGGATTTTTGCTTTGAGGTAGTTGAATGACATTCATTTTCAGAGCCTGGATTGTGCCTAGCTTCATTGCTGGTTTGCCTTGATAATGAAACTTGATCTTTACTCATCTAGGTGTGGCTGAAGCTGATGGGATTTGGAATCCAAAAGCAACTGGAGACAACAAAAGTAACACACCGTTAGTACACTCCCTTGATCTTATTTCTTTCTTTCAGGTGCCTGTAATACACCAGAAAAATACTGTATGAGGCTTCTTTGCTAGATACAGTATCTTTAAACCGCATATTGGAATGGTAGCTGGATAATACAGTGGTGCCCCGCATAGCGATGATAATCCGTTCCAGAAAAATCGTCGCTATGCGGAAATTAAAAGCCCACAGGAATGCATTAAAACCAGTTTAATGCGTTCCTATGGGCAAAAAACTCGCCTTTAAGCGAAAATCCTTCATACGGCCGCCATTTTCACTGCCCGGTAAGCAAGGAATCGGCGTGGAAACACAGTGGGTGGCCATTTTTTTTACCCGGCGGCAATTTTGGAACCGCCGATCAGCTGTTTGGAAATCATCGTTATGCGAAAATCGGTAAGCGAAACAGCTTACCAATCATCACAAAGCGATTTTTCCCCTTTAAATTTATTTATTTATTTATTTATTTGATTTTACCCCACCCCTCTAGACAACGTCTACTCTACTTAAATCATCACAATGCGATCGCTTTTGCGATCGCAAAATCTTAATCGCTATGCAGATTCGTCGTTAAACGGGGCACCCGTTAAGCGAGGCACCACTGTATTCTGTTTAAATTCCACAGTTGCTAGATACAGTATCTTTAAACCGCATATTGGGATGGTATCTGGATAATACTCTGTTTAAATTCCACAGTTTTCTTTTCACGTACTGGCTAATTTTTTAAAATCATTTGACGGCCGTAAAGACAGAAATGTAATAACATAGCTTAACATTAAGCTTGCCTTCCTCTTTGTTTTTGATAGGACAGCAGCTCCTAACAAATTTCTATAGCTTTCTTTCAAAACCAACGGTGTCTCTCTTTCCAAAAAACAAAGAAGGAATATTCATTTAGGATTCTACGTTGCATTGTACCTCACATCGTACTTAAAATTATGTGCATCCAAATTATGCCCCGCCACCTGTATTTATTAGGGACGTGATGGTGCTGTGGGTTAAACCGCAGAAGCCTCTGTGCTGCAAGGTCAGAAGACCTGCAGTTCGTAAGATCAAATCCACGCGACGGAGTGACCCCTGTCGCTTGTCCCAGCTCCTGCCAACCTAGCATTTCGAAAGCATGCAAAATGCGAGTAGATAACTAGGTACCACCACAGTGGGAAGGTAATGGCATTCTGTGTCTAGTCACGCTGGCCACGTGACCACGGAAAAATGTCTTCGGACAAACGCTGGCTCTATGGGTTAGAAACGGAGCTGAGCACCACCCCCTAGAGTGGGACACGACTGAACAAATTGTCAAGGGGAACCTTTACCTTACCTGTATTTATTATATCTTTATTTGACATTAATACTGCCCATGTAACTGAAGAAGATCTAGGAAATGGCCAAGATAATGCTATTGAAGTAGCCCACTTCTGGCCAAAAATAGTCTAATGAATATTTTAATTGGTTTTTAATTTAACTTATATTTCATAGTTTTAAGTTGCAAGCGACTTTCGGATAAGAATAAAGAAAAACTTGAGCACATGAGAAGGGCCGCCTCGCTCTCCAAAGGAACTGCATTCAGGGCAGATTTGTAATCAATCTGGAAGCACAAGAACAACACTAAAAAAAAAATCAGTTGTTCATCCCATTCCTGATTTTAGGTCATGGGGTTCAAACCAATATGAGCCAAAAGTTTTCTGCAAGTTCAGGCACCCTGCCTCTTTTTCTACAGAAGTAGAGTATTTATTTATTTATTCATTCATTCATTCATTCATTTGATGAAAAATTGCCTGAGAGGGCAGGGAATTGAACCCTGCCCAATGAGGACCAAGTGCGATCCGGGATTGTTAGAAAACGAGATGAGAGGATCAACGGGCTGAACTCCTGACCACCAGCATTTCAAATAAGAGTTAGAGGAGAACCCGTGTCATGTAGTAGGATGTCCAACGAAGACTCGTGAAATGGGAGTTCCAATGTCATTCTCGGCTGTAGAAATTCACAAGAGGTTGGACTGGCAATGGTAAACCACTCCTAACTTGTCAATTCTGGCTTACGGTGACCTTTCTCAGGGTTTTCAAAGTAGAGAGTACTCAATCAGTGGTTTGCCCTTCCCTCCCTCTGGGAACACGGAATGGGCAAGGAGGCTCAGTGGGGGAATTGGAACTCGCAACCTCGGGCTCCACAGCCACTGAGCTATCCCACCCAGCTTCATGGTACAGGGCAACAAATAATACAATAATATAGCAGAAATTGAATACGGATTATAAACAAAGACGAATAATAATAACATGAATGATAGAATAATGACACAATTGCAGGAGGTGATGCTCAGGCAACTCGTACAGCAGGGTTGTGTTGTTTCCTGTAGGGGAGAATCTAATTATTTTATTCCTCACCTTAAATGGTGTCCCTTAAACATTTGTGTGTCTTTCCATGGGTAATTGCAACTAATTGATGAGGTGACAGGAAGCATGGGATTTGCATGCCTGGAATTTAGATTTGCCTCGGCATCCTCTCAATTAGCTACAGCAAGCTAAGCAAACCTGACTTGCATACCAAGAGGATTATAGACAATATTTCTGTAACAATTTAAAGTTTTCAAGAATGGTCATGTGTACTTATATTGTGATTGTTCCCCAACCCACTGCAGAGGGAGTGAACAGAGGCTGGGAGCGAGGGGCTTGCTAACACTACTTAGCAAAATCACCAGAGAGGTGAGATTCGAAACCAGAGCTTCTTGATTTATACAGTGGTGCCTCACATAGCGATCACTCTGCATAGCGAATAAATCGCTTTGTGACAATGTTTTTGCGATCGCAAAAGCGATCACTTTGCGATGGTCCCTATGGTGAAATTTCGCTTTGCGATGATCACAGGGAAGCGAACATTGCAAAGCCCCCATTTTCGCACAGCTGATCGGCGGTTTCAAAATGGCTGCCAGGTAAACAAAATGGCTGCCCGCTGAGTTTCCTCGCTTTAGAGGCACCGAAAATGGCCACCCCTATGGAGGATCTTTGCTTAAAGGTTAGTTTTCAGCCCATAAGAACGCGTTAATCGCATTTTAATGCGTTTCTATGGGCTTTTTATTTTTGCTTAGTGATGTTATTGCTTAGCAGCGATTTTTTTCTGCACGGATTAACATCGCTAAGCGAGGCACCACTGTAGTTACTTTCTGTAGCTGTTATGACATGGCAATTCTCACTAGAACATCTGTTGCCTTAGTGCTGGATCTTCTGTTAATTTAAAGCAATTTAGAAGGTAAATTGAGTACCCAGTGTGTGTGTGCAAGATGTAGCCTGCACCATTAAATTGTAAACCACCCAGAGAGCGTTTTAAGTGCAATGGGGTGGAATATAAGCAACACACTTGATTGTGTTTGATGCTCCCTGCTTTGTTTCATCCCACTTCTCAATTTTTCTATTGCTCTCTTTCCCCCATCCATCTGTTCTTCTAGAGATCTTAGTGAACTGGAACACTGCTGCAAGAAGTCCGACAGTGAGTCCTTGGTAGAAAATCAAAAGCAGGACATTTCCCTGGCCTTGAAAAGTGGACTTTGACCCATGGGAAAAAATGGCTACTGAACAGGAAATGCAGCCATTGTTGGGTTTCAAGTTTCAGACTGCATTCGAACAAAATAGGATAAAAATGGATGAGCGATATCAACCTGGAACTATGTATGGCGAGGAACCTGGAGAAGAACATGTCCCTCATGGCAGCTATGCTGGAAATATCAGGGAATGCCTCTCCAGATGGCCAGAGCAGCAGGTCAAGTCGGAGCCGGGGGAGAGGCTGCTCCGGCAGTGGGAAGACCAGTGGCAGGGCTTCCTGAAGACCGTGGAGTCTCCCTCTTCGTCCGAGTGGGAGAGGCCAGGGCTGCCGGACGCGTCGGCCCCGTGGGGCGATGCCCAGGCCTTCCTGGCCTCCTTCGAGCAAGTGGCCGAGGCCTGCTTGTGGCCCAAGGAGGAGTGGGCGGCCCGACTCCGGCCAGCCCTCCGAGGAGAAGCGGGCCAGGCCTTCGTCCGGCTGGAGGCCAGGGACCGAGAGGACTACGGCAAGGTGAAGGCGGCCCTCCTGCGCAGGGAGGCTCTGCGGAGAGAGAAGACCCGGCAGCACTTCCGGAGCTTCGGCTACCGGGAGGCCGAAGGGCCGCGAGCGGTTCACGGCCGGCTACGGGAGCTTTGCCGCGGGTGGTTGAAGGTGGAGAAGCACACGAAGGAGCAGATCCTGGAAGAGCTGGTCCTGGAGCAGTTCCTGGCCGTCCTTCCGCCGGAGGTCCAGACCTGGGTCAGGGGACACGGGCCCGAGACCGGCGCCCAGGCGGTGGCCCTGGCCGAGGACTTCCTGGGGAGGCCTTGCAAGTCGGAGAGGCTGGAGCAGCACGTAAGGGAAAGCAAAGCTTGGAAAAAATACTGTCAAAACGTAATTGTGACTCATTGGAACATCTGTCTATTTTCAGTAGCTCATTCTCACTAGTGTTGCAAAATCCTTTTTCTGATGTGTTTTAGCTTTTTTCCTAACTCTAAGTATTGAGAAGAAAAGGGCATACAATTTGGAAAGTTGCACTCAGAGTGGCTCTAAAAATTGCCTTTAATACTGTCAAAACGTAATTGTGACTCATTGGAACATCTGTCTATTTTCAGTAGCTCATTCTCACTAGTGTTGCAAAATCCTTTTTCTGATGTGTTTTAGCTTTTTTCCTAACTCTAAGTATTGAGAAGAAAAGGGCATACAATTTGGAAAGTTGCACTCAGAGTGGCTCTAAAAATTGCCTTTAAGGGCTATCCTAAAAGCTACTGGGATGTGGTGGTGCTGCGGGCTAAACCGCAGAAGCCTCTGTGCTGGAAGGGCAGAAGACCTGCAGTTATAAGATCGAATCCACGCGACGGAGTGAGCCCCCGTCGCTTTGTCCCAGCTCCCGCCATCCTAGCGGTTCGAAAGCATGCAAAAATGCGTGTAGATAAATAGGGACCACCACGGTGGGAAGGTAACGGCATTACGTGTCTAGTCGCGCTGGCCACTTGACCACGGAAGATTGTCTTTGGACAAACGCTGGCTCTATGGGTTGGAAACGGGGATGAGCACCGCCCCCTAGAGTCGGACGCGATTGGACAAATTGTCAAAGGGAATCTTTACCTTTACGTAAAAGCAGCTAAATAATCATTTATAAAGTCAGAAGTTGGGCAAAAACTCCCAGAAGCCTTCATCCGCTATTTGGCTGGGATTCCTGGGAGTTGTAGTCCAAGACCACTTGGAGACCCAAGGTTGGGAACCCCTCTTTAGAACTAAGATCAGGGAAACCAAGGCTGGCCTCCCTTCTCAGCCTCGGAGCTTAGTGGATGATCTTGAGCTGTTCCCGTGCTCTCAGGCTAACCTAACTTAAGTTGGCCTAAGGCTGCAGTTTCCCAATCTTGGGTGACCCCGGCATTCTTGGACTGCAATTCCCAGAAGCTTTCACGACCCGCCGAGCTAACCAGAGTTTTTGGATTTGGAATCCAAGAACACCTGTGTGACGCGAGGCTGAGAAGCACTGGCATGAGGGTAAAATGAGGGAGTGAAGTCCACTCTATAGGTCTAGAGTAGTGGTTCTCAACCTGGGGTCCCAATCCAGATGTTCTTGGGCTGCATTTTCCCAGAAGCCTCCATCACCAGCTGTGCTAGCCAGGATTTCTGGGCGTTGCAGTCCAAAAACATCTGGAGATCCAAGTTTGAGAACCATTGGTCTAGAACAGGGGTTCCCAAACTTTTTTGAGCTGTGACCCTTTTCTGATAGCCAAGTAACCTGTGACCTCCTCCCCCCTTGCCACATTTGCACAAAAAGGCATTTTTAATGGGGAAAAGTCAGAAAACAAGTTTCTTTCTCCCCCAAAGGGTCTGTTTCTCATGCACGCTAACCTTAATATCCTGCTCTGAAAAGTCGAGGAAGAAATTATTTAAATTATTAAATTTATTTATTTAAGTGAGATTTAGTGTAAATTAAGGAAAACATTCTGTACATTCCCCTCTTGCTCCCTACTGGAGCTTGAATCAGGGATTGAGAGGGCAAAGAGAGATACAGCCATTCTGAAATTTTGGGACGGCCTGGTTGTAGAGACTTGCTTTTGCGGGGAACAGATGGAAGGGACATCCAGCTACAGTCGCTGCACTTTTTGACAGTGAACACACCATTTCTTGTATTAGCCAAAAGTTAAGGCCTGACGAGCTTTATTTTCCTAGAACTGTAGAGTTGGAAGGGATCCTAAAGATCATCTTGTCTGACCCCCTACCTGTGGAGGAGATTGACAGCTAATACGTTTCCAAGGGATGGCTGTCCAAACCACTTTTTAAAAACCTCTAAGTCTGTACCGCTCACCTACCACAGAGAGAATCTGCTCGGAATTTACTCCTAATGTTTAGTCCGAATCACATACATTGAAGCCATGTGTTCAAGTCTTACCCACAGAAGCTACAGAAGACGCTTTTGATCTGGGTAGGACCATTTTTCACCTTGGTGACTGGCGGATCTAAATTTGACCCT